ATCCAATTTAATAAAAGATATGATACTATATGTTAAAATCCAAGCATTGTTTCTGGTAGAAATGTTGTATACAAGATAAAAAAAAAATATAAATAAATAAACACCATTCTAAAACCACTAGATCCCTCACTCTGCTCAGAATCGAAAATGGGACAAAGCCTTGCTCTAAATTAGGTGTCGAGTGGGTCAATCTAATATATGTGTTAAGTTATATTTCAATTTGATACTTCTCAATAATATCGATTATTAATCGCTAATAATAACATCACTATACTGTTACTGTATTGTATACCACTACACATATTATGTAAACAACAAAATATTATTTACCTACTACTATTTCCCCAAATGTTTTACTCTGTTGCCTACTATAAATACACATTTTTTGTTTCATATTTGAGTAATAACCTTTTAGATATCGCTGTCGAATAACTAATAATATTATTCTTACTTTGTGTTATTTAACACTTCTGTTATTATTATTTTTTGTTGGTACCTACAAAAATGGTCAAACATATTATTATGTTAAATTTATGTTTCATGGTTTATATTATTGGAAATATAGATGAAGTAACTGCAGCAGCTCAGCATGAAGATGGCGAGTATATGTTATGTTTTATTCATTGCATATTATTAAGACAAATTCTATGACAAATCGCTTAGGTATTCCTATTTATGGACGATCTTAAAATAAATAATTACGATTTGAAGTCTTAAAATTAGTGTTCTTTTAATGAAATAGTAATCAACACATATTAAGAAATAAAATGAGATTTCATGTTATATTTGTAAAAGAAAAAAACTTTAAAATCTATATATTATATAATAAACATACTGAATATTATGGTTGTTATATATTTTGTTTTCTATAACAAAATTAAGTTTTACATTGGTAGTTATTAGGTACCTACGACTTATGGTCATTATCCATTGTAGTAGACAAATTGTATTCAATTTGATTACATATGTAAATTATGAGTAAATCAAGTTTTACATAGTTATCTTATAATTTAAATTATGAAGATTACAAATGTCATATTAATTATTAAGAGTATGCCATAACCACATGCGATGCCTTATTGTCTTACAAACATAGATACAGTATAATAGCAAGTTTATGTTATGCAGAACCAATTTTGTATTCTTAATTTTAATTGACTTAAAATCGATCCCAAAGTAAGAATATTATCCTTAAATAAATGCCTATATTGATAAATGAACTTTAAAGCGAGTAATTAGGCTAATTTATAATTATGTATATAATAAAAAAAATTGTCATGTTAAAAACAAATTGTGTTAACTATCTTTTCATTTTCTTGTTCGTGATAAACCTTACACGTTTTACTAACTACTAATTTTATAGATTTTTTTAAAGCAGTAAAATGCTGTAGTAAGTAATTTTATTTTACTATACAACATAGTACACAACACATTGATCTTATAAATACATTGAGTTTCGCTCAATGTGATCACATTTATACTATCAGATAATTGTCATTTATTATACAAGTTTATTAGTAATTTTAATTTTATAATAATATGAAGAATACATTTGTACATAACGACCATGTACATAGTTTAACATATAAATTTATTAGTTATTATCAGTATTGGGAATTATTTCTTTAATTATCTTATCTAGATAAAAATAATTAAATCATCTAATTATCTCATCTAGATAAATGTAATGGTAATCTGTGGTCATTTATCTAGATAAATAATATGATAATGAGAATATTTTTAAATACTGAAATAGCCAATAATTTATGAGAACTGAGTAGTGATTCCAAATTCCAATATTATTATAGTTAAAAAAATAAATGTTTACTGAAATATTGTCAGTTTTATTTTTATTCAAGTTGTATATTAAAAATTAAAATTGTATAATATTTTAGTTTAGAAATGATATTAAGGATTTAATAATTAATAAAAATTACCTAATTTTAGTAATAACTAATAAATTACATTATTTATAATATAATTTAAAAACAAATTATATATTTTTTTACCTAGATAAATGTATCTGTATTTTTATCTTTATCTAGAAAAAAAAATGAAATTATATTTTATCTTATCAGATATATTTTGACTAAATTATCTGTTATGTTATCCAGATGATTTTTTAGTTATCTTTTCCCAACACCGGTTATTATTTAAAGGGACTTCATACCCGCAAGTTTTGTCTTATTAATACATACAATTGCAAAATTGCGTACGTCCATCAGTTCCAAATTAGGGTGTGTTGTTAGCTTAAATATAGGTATAATAGTGGATTGTAGGTTAAACATATTATTAAATTAAATTTATGTTTTATTGTTTATATTATTGAAAATACAGATACATTACACGCAAATCAACGTAAAGAAAGTGAGCACCTATATATTTATTTATTTTTATTACATAAAAAGACCAATCCTATGACAAATCGCTTATTAATACTAATGGACAATCTTAAAACAGATAATTACAATTTGAATTCATAGAAAAGTGTTTTTTTAATAAAATGCTAATCGAAACATATTATGAAATAGAATGAGATTTCTTATCACATTATATTTCTAACAGAAAAAACAACACAATCTATCAACATGCTAAATATTATGCTATTTTTTTTTCCATAGCAACATTAAGATTTACATTGGCAGTTATTACCTATGACTTATGACAATTATGCACTATTGTAGATAAATCGTATTACATTTGTTTATTTGTTTAAATATTTAATTTATTATGTTACAAGTAAATAAAGTATTACATAGTTATCTAATAGTTTCTCGCTTGTAAAAATTACAAATGACATATTAATTAATAACCGCATAGCCGAATGTGATTCCCTTGCCTTACAAACGAAGATAACTTAAAATAGCAAGTTTATGTTCCGCAGAACCAATGTCGTATAATTGACTCATGATGATCAATCTTAAAGTAAGAATATCAACCTCCAATCCCAAACTGATATATAAACTTTAAAGCAAGTAATTAGGCTAATTAATAACTTTGTTAAAAATAAAAAAAACAATTTCTGATTAAAAAAAATTAGGTTAACTATCTTGCACTCTCCTTGTTCATAATATACTTAACATATTTTTACTAACTATTACCTTTTTTAGAATTTTATAAAGCAGTCAAATGCTATCGTAAGTATTTTTATCAAAACATATTGTTCCTATAAATATATTAAGTTTCGCACAACGCCTTCTGTAAGAGAGTTGTAATTTATTATAAAAGTTTTTTATTAATTTTAATTTTAGAATGATATGAAAAATAAATTATTATATAACAATCAAGTATATAATTCAAAATGTCAATTTATTAGGTTTTACTTAATTGGACTTCGTACCCACAAATGTTGTCTTATTAATGAATAAAATAGCAAAATATTATATAAATACATATTGTGTTGTTGGCTTAAATATAAAAATGTGTTGACCTAAACAAACTTAAATTTTGATGACTTTTGTTAAAATTCTAACTTCAAGTACTGAAAAAAAAATACTGTAGATTTACTCTCCGTCTTTCTACTTTTTTTAATTTATCCATAAGGAACCTTGTATTAACTTTTTAAGTTTTTTGGAAGAGCATAAACATTTTAATCAACAAATATAGAAAAGAATGATTAAAATTTAGCAACATATTATACGTAGGTACTTAAAAATTAGCAAAATATAGGTAAATTAATTATATACCACCCCACCAGTCTCATATCAATATCTGATGATCATCGCCATATCACCACCAGGTGATCATCATACTTATATCACCATCAGGTGATCATCATAATATCACAATCGGGTAATCATATCACAATAGGGTGATCATCGCCATATCACCATCAAGTGATCATCATCATATCAACATATGGTAATCACAACCATATCACCATTAAGTGATCATGACCATATCTCCACCGGATCTCGTTATATAATATTATGATATAATTGGTATGTTTGAAATTCTACATTTTCAGTAATCATAGTAACCATTAGATGCATACCTGTCGTTTGTAGTAGACCCTCAAAAAATTAGCAGCATCACCTTAACAGACCCTTATGAAAATATACATTCAACAGATTAGTATAGTAGAATTGTTTCTCTGACATCAATAGATTTGTTCGTTCCTTCATGAACATTTTATATATATATATCATCATATAAATTTAATCCAATCGTTTAGGAGAAATTCTAATAAGTATATACTTATAGACGAATTACATGATATAGATCTATTTTCTGTTATTTATAATTGATGCTTTTATAGGGCAAATGTTTGAAAATGGACTAATAGTTGGAACTCGGGGTAAGTTAATTTTTTTAAACTGACAAAAACCACTAATTTTACTGTGACTAACTTTGTCAAAAAGATAATTAGTGTCTCTTTGGTAAGTGCTGGCAATGTCTGAGTGTCTGACCACAGTGAGTGGTATAAAAGTACAGTCATAACATGGCTAACTGATTAGTGCAATAAGGCGCTACGGCAGGAATACGGCTTATTGAAGAGTTTTACAGTAAAAATACCTATTACAAAAATTGTAGAGGAGAATTTTTCCTAGAAACGTAAGAAACCAGTTTTAGAAATTTTTATTAATTAGTTAAATAATTATTTGATACAAATATAGAAGAAACGTGTTAAATTACCATGCGATATTGGACGATTGGAACAAGATATAAAAAATCAGGAGTCTTACGTTTCTAGGAAAAATTCTCCTCTAAAATTTTTGTAATAGGTATTTATACTGTAAAATGCTTTAACAAACCGTATTCTTGGAATTACGAAACCATGTTTTTCGGTAAAAAAAAAACGTTTAATTAAGCTCGTCATGTGCTGCGCCCGTTATAGACAGCGACAGCGCTCGATACTAAATGTTTATACCACCACCACCGATTCGCTTCGTCCGTCTCCAAAGTGTGGTGCGTTTTTTAGATTTGGCCGACGGGTCGTGCACGGCTGCCACCGCCCGGCTTGTGTGGCTGTAACTGCGGCCGCTGTCGTCGGTATCGAGTTAGTTCTGTTGTAGTTCTGCCTGGCCGAAACGAGCCGCTGGAACGGTTTGCAGTTCTGGCACGGTATCGTCTCTTCTTATCCGGTCATCTGATGACGGCGGGACTTTTGGAGCCTCGACAACGTTGCCTGGGATGAGCACAAGGTGACGGTCGACCAGATCGATGCCCATCTTACGGCTGCTCTCTGCCTGCGGCTGTTCTGCTGTGGCGGTGTCGTCTGCTTCACCATATTTTGGACCTCGGCAAAGTACGGTGACGTTTGCAGGCGTGGACTGCAGGTGGCTAATCGCGGCTGGTCCGGTGACGTTTTCCAAGGACCGGTATCGGCAGCTAATCGAGGATGGTCCGGTGACGTACCGACTAAACTGCAACAGCGTCCATTCAGGAACGTTGGAACTTGCCTCTCGCAATTCGGCAAATACGCTTTGCATCACTTCCGTCTCGGTCGACTGCAAGTTAACGGATTGGTTTTCTGCGTAATTCATCATGTCCGTACGAGAATATAATATTATATAGCTATAAGTCAAACACGGCAACTTATATTATATTATAATACAATAGGCACGATGTATTAATTTGGTTAGCTGATAAATAAGAAATATTGAATTGACGGACAATAAAACATTATTATAGTACAACCGTACTATTACAATCTATAGCTACAAGATTTTCGTTGATTTTTAATAGGCTTGAATAAAATATATTATAAGATACTTACTCTATTCCATATTATTATTATAAATTTGAAATTTTTAGAGAAATTTAAAGTTATAATATTACGAAATTATATAATACGTTGTAGATAGGAATTATGAATATTCCTTATTCTAGCCTCAATAAAATTGGTAATTGCTAATTGTGTAAGGAATCCAACTTACCATAGGTATTAAAGTATAATATATATGAACTCAAAATAATAAAAAACTACTGATTTTTTTAAAACGATGAAATATTTTTATGCTCTTTGAATAATAATGTTATATTATAATACTGTGCACCTGTGTACCCATGTAGTACCCATGTAGTCATATAGGTATACTAAATAATAGTAATATAGTTAGGAGAGAAAAATCGGGACCCTCGATTAATACCTTTTATACACTCGCAACTCAAGTATAATACTCTGGTTAAGGATTGGTAAGCACAACGTATGAACAGAGAAAAGCGAGAGTCGTCATGAAGTGAAATGAAGATAAAATGGATCGATATTCTATAATATCGATAAGAGTGCAACTTAAAAATTAAAAATAGTTAAAACTGGTAAATAATATGAATAATAGTTACTAGTTAGGTACAAGGTAATAAGTCGTATTGCATTTTATCCAGAATACAGTTTGGCAACGTTGCATGGTTTTAACGAATTTTTATCAAAAATATTTCGGGAGCAAATTGATACACATATTTAAGTTAACAGGTGTCTTCATTAAAAAGTAAGTCTAACGAGGATCGAGCACCCGGCCTAATCGTACTTGCATTATAAATACAGGGGTGACAATTTACACAATGGTCAATGTCAATATTGTGATGATCGGAATATTGGTACGGTCCATACAATTTATAACAAAAGGAATAAAAAACGCGGAAAACTGGTACTATTCAAAATTTAATTTTCAGGGGTCCTAAAATATTTAAAATTTTTATAATATAATTTTGATAAATCACCATCGTCAACAAGTTAAATTTAAATAACACTTACGATTAAAAAAAGGTGGGCGAGTGGATGTCGCGCTGCTGTACAGTAGGTTACAAGTGGGTCACTGTAATGGATGGTGTTAAATTTGAATTCAATGATATAATATCATTGTATAAGAAAAACGATTCTGAGCAAAAACGGTCAGTCAGCCTATGATATTACTAAGTATATTTGATGATATTATTGTGAATAAAGTAATTTATATAATTACCTATTTACGTAGACCCTTGTTTTAAATTTTTAATCCTTAGCTATAAAAGTTAAACATTTTATAAATTTTTAACTACAAAATAATTATTAAATTTTAAATATGATAAATTTTGTCAAAATTTGAACTTTAAATGCTTATAAAAAAAAAATTGTGCCTACGTATTTTTAATATTTTTCAACTGCTATTGTTACAATATATCAGGAGCCTTGCATTCAATTTTTGACCCCAACAAATAAAATAATTTAATTTTTATTGAAATTTATAAAACAGCTGTATCCTCTGTACACATACAATCATAAAATTACAACGATATTAAATAGATTTTTAAATAATAAAATAATTATTGTTCAACTTGGAATGTTGTGCACTATATAGTCGACAATATTTGACTTGGGGTTTCTGGTGTTCTTACAGATTATTCCTTTATATTATTATACGTATCAGGTATAATTTTTAAGTGGAAAATAGAACGCACTCAATCCACTATTTGCGAATGATGTACTGGTGAGAACTTGCTGTATATTGTAGTTCATAACATTTATTGATTAATAGATATTTACTGTATCTTATCGTTATCGCATTATTTTTACTCGCAGTCACTCGTGGTTTCCCACCGATCGTCGGTAAAATAAAATTAAAAATAATCGTTTATATTTCATTATTTTTTTTTCATAAAAGTTTGGGAAACCTTGACTATTGTGGACCGTACCAGTATTCCGCGTTTATAAAGACCGTACCAGTTTTCCGTTTACACAATATTGTATGGACCCGTTCAACTAGACTGTTCGTGAAATAATAATGTGCCTCTCCTGCGAGTACGCCGCGTAGGTCTCGCCACGGAGACAATGGGCGTGGTTACGCCCAGCCTCGACGTTGGCGATACGGCGTACAACCCCATCTCTTTAGCGTTGTATACGTAACACTTTTACAATTGCACACTCTTAAGGGGCAATTGATGCAACGTATTTATTTCATGATTTAGACCTAAAAGCCTGACAAAAATACGCCTACTTAGAATTATCAGATTTCAATTCTGTAAAAAGATTCAAGTTCATTGACAATTTTCCTAGGTTATTGTGGGAATCAATTTTCGATATTTTTTTAGAATTCACGTTAAATCATATTTCGATTTCTCAATTTTTTGAAAATTGTTTGTGTCTTTCTTTAAAAAGTTAAACAGTTATTCAATAATCGACTCCCACAATAACCTAGAAAAAATAACGATGAATTCAAATATGTTTACAGAACTAAATTCCGATCATTCTAAGTTATCGTATTTTTGTCAGGCTTTTAGGTCTCAATTGATTGAAATTAGTTTCTCGTTGGAACAAATATTGTATTATATGACATGTGCATGCGGGTGCGAACCACTGATTCCGAACGTACATATATATCTACGCACACTAATGATCATTTACTTCGCACACAAACACACTGCGTAACGACTATAATACATCGAATTGCCTATACACGACCCCTTATTAAATCACAGCCTCGAACCCCCTTAACGATCAGTCCAAACATACAAACGTACACTTATATAATAAACAGTTACGTCTAAACATTTGTACGTTTTTCAAAACCAATAGTACTTAATCTTGAATTTTTCTCAATTTCATGTATATTGTCCTGTGACCATCAATATTTCTTTTTGAGGAAGTTGGCACGATGAAACAAGTCATTGATTTATCGACAAATCTGTCAGCAGTTGTGATCTTAACACTTCATAATTCGAGTGTAATATTTTGGCTAGATATATTCGATCTATTAGGTAAAATTCAGTGTCATACTTCATTGCATTAGGCTAAAATAATAATGTGAATATAACTACTATACATTGTTATGTTTTAATTATGTACGCATGTATGTGTAATTGTTTAGAAGGACATATAAAACAGAAACAAACTGATATTGACGTAGGTACGTGTATTGTTTATTTTAATTTATTTTTTCATAGGTCCACCTCCAAATGACGATTTTTTAAACCAATTGAAAAAATGTTGTAAGTATACATTACTAATTACTTATAGTAATTTATATATTTTACTATAGATATATTGACTGTTAATTTACCTAAATTCATTTAGTGTGCAATATAATGTATTCTTTTATAGATGTTTATAACGACATCGAAACGGACAATTCGTTAAAAATAATAAAAGATCGCTGTAAGAATACATACTAAGTCACTTTTTGTGTGATATTTAATTTTTACAAAGTTCATATAGAATATTTATGGATGGTTAATATATTGATATAAATATATATATATACTAGCTGATCTTGTGCACTTCTTTGCCCATTGACATGTTGAGTGCCACGTAGATTTGAATTGAATGTGGAAGCAATGTACTTTTAAGTGTAAAGGACATTATAGTTTAATGTATAGCTATGTCCGTTAGCTTCACAACAGTATATTAACAGGTACCTAGGAAATCTATCTATGGTAGATTTGTACGTAAGTGTATAATTTAACTCAGTGTCAATATGTATATTAACTTTGTCGTTTTTCTTAATTAAACATACAGCGAATTAATATATTTAATTAATAAAAATCCTAACCTAACCTAACTGTACTAAAATTAGATGAACAAAATAAACCAAACATTAAAAAAAAAATTAAAAATAGGAAAAGAAAACAATGGAAAAATTTGACTTGCAGCATTGCGGGTTCTGCGACTTAAGTTTGTAAGTCTAGTTGCTGGAATTTTTAAAACAACTTTACCAAAATTCTTTAAACTAATGATTATCATTTATCAATTAACTCACTGTAAAACTAATAATTATAATAAAAATAAAACAAAATTATAATACAAATCAACAAACATACCCAATTATCCAATAGCAATTAGTGACCAATATATAATATTCACTAGGTTATATTATATAAATCTGCAACAATAAACTACATTTTTTTATGTTTTAGTTTTTTTTGTAATGGGCAGGTTTTCGCCACTTTCGTATTTTTGATATCCGGATTTCCTACTTTGGATTTTCTTAAAATTTTCTTTCGCTATAAAATCTATTGAGTTATGATCCATAAATACATTTTAATTTTAAATTAACTTATATTATAGTTTAGAATTCGAGTGGGATACCATTGACTTATCAAGTCAACTGGCAACCATTGTGGTTTTTACACTTCATAAATCAAGTGAATTATTTCGGATAGATATTCGGCCCGTTAGGGAAAATAGAGTTAACACTTGTATCAATTTAACTTAGGAATTTAAATATTATTATACACTGATACGTTGTAATTACGTACACAAGTAGTAGCATAGGCGTTTTTAGTGAATTAGATTTAAATATATAAAAACAATAACAAACCGAGATGTAAATATAATATAATTATTTATGTTTTTATAGATGAATATTTCAACAACGATAAAAACCTTAACGTCGTAATAAATGAATTTTGTAAGTATACATATTTATATTTTTATAGCGTTATATTATCTAAATATTTTAAAACGTATACTGTATTAATTATAGATGATTATATTACAATCATAGACTTATAGATATACACGAAACATTAGTCGCGAGGACTTGGTGGCGTGGTCGTGCCAAATGAATTAAGA